GCATTGTTTTCCTCTTACTGAGGAATTTTCTAAAGATTGGTGCTCGATTAGCAGGCGTACATAAGAAACATTTGCGGCAGAACTTTGAATAGCAGGGGTCCATTTACGATGTCAATGTCATTTTCGCACTGACATTGAAGCGATTTATATTGATATTTCAACTGTGTGAACTGATACCGATACCAGGTGGCTAGTGAAATTAATCATTTTATAGGTATTGATATTGATATTTTACAGCACTGCTCAAGAAATGCATCTCTGAATGCACTAGGGATTATACTTGGAATCCCCTTGAGTCTCCGATTTCCTTCGGAATTATACACGGGAAAAAAATTGTTCCGAAATTCGTGAACCTCTAGTCACGAATTTCGGAACAAGTCAATTTTTCGTCTACGAAAGTACACCATGAAAAAAAAATCATAGAATCGTGAACATTGTTCCGCAAAATATACGTAACGCCTGCAAATAAACGTAACGGGCACCAGCAAAGGCAACACAAGTCATATAATCGTGAACTCTGTGCTGAAAATTATGATCTTGTTCTGGTAAACGTGATTTATGTTCATGAGTTGTGCTTGATATCGTGAACCTGTTCTCGAAAACGGACAGTAACATTTCAACAATAAAATCGTTTACAATATTTTAAATGCAGCGAGGAAGTTGCAGGAAAACAACGGTATACTTGATACAAGTTTCACCAACACCCAATTGGCATCTGTCCAGCATATGGATTGGGCATACTTTCAGCTCAACAAATCAACGGATCTCCGGTCACCATGAACGCAGCTAAAACCACCATGGGCTTCCATCAGAGCGGTGGGAGCAAGAACACCGGATGCGTTCGGGTTCCCTTTCTTCGAGGTTTACGGCCAGTTTGATGACACGTCTCAGCCACTGGAAATTGTGTTGGACTGCCTTCTGATGATACGGCTCAGTTGCTTTCACTAATAATAAACACACTATTCTAGACGGTCCCGAGCACTATATAGAAAAATCAATTTTCACCCATGTCCAAGATCACGCTTGATTTTCGTAGACAAAAATCAACAAGCAAACAACTTCGGTTGATTTTGCAAGCTGTGATATCGCAGCTCGGAATATCAAGCTAACAAAACTCACCAGCTGCAAATCTCACCAAACTGTGGTGAGATTGAGTTTAATGAGCTTTGCTTTACACCCGAACGCAACCGAAACTTCCGAAACAACCGAAAGTCCCTTCGTGGCTGCCATCAGTGAAAAGTAGAAAGAGATAGCAAACTATACTTTCTCTTTCTAAGAAAACGATGTGCAATGGAATCATTTTTTGTGTTGATTCAGCTCTCAGCTTGATTTTAGCACGTTGTGAATAGTTTCGCAATATCAAAGGAGCTTGTAAAATCAATATCAAGAATGATATTTTGTTCCAATATCACGCGTGATATTGAGAGCGTATGAGAGCAGAAAAATAGCATTTGATTGATGCTTTTGCCAACACTGCACTCTATAAAGATAAATTCAACAGAACTGAAAACTACAGCTCTAGCTTTGCATGTGATTCAAGTTCACGATTTCAGGAACGATAATCACAATTAGCTTCATGAATCACGAAATCATGAATTTATTTTGTGTTTTTTGTAGCGTTACGGAATCGTTGGTCGTGCTGAATAGGGGTGAACTAAATTCATGGATTTGAGATTTATTTTATGAAAATGTGATCTACCCGATTACGTTTATGGGAACAAGGTCATGAATTCCAATGAACTAACAGCTCAGGTTATGGTGATTTGTTATTCACGAATACCGAAACGGTTTTTTTGCGTGTAACAGCAAAATGCTATTAATAAATTACTTCGAATTATCCTCAGAACTTCCTTAGAATTTGCCCCAGAAGTATTTGGAAACTATCCTGAGGATTGAATACCCTTTGAGTTCTTCTCGTAATTTCCTTTGAATCACCCAGCTCTTGAATGGAGATGATCCCGGCGTAGTGGTTAGCATTCATACCTCTCACGCCAAGATCTTATCCCTCAAATAACACACGAATGATGCAAGGGTGTTAAAATGACTATAGTAAAATACATCTTGAAATTAATCTCCAACCTTATTACTAATAGGATAAGTGTGCTAGCAGCGGCACTAGTGCACCAGTTTTGGTCCTACCGTATGCGTGATACAATGCCTTGGTTTTCTTTGCATGCACGTAACCTATAGCTCATACCATAGTAGGCTGTGTATAAAAGAAAATGATTTACTTAGTTTGACAGTTGCACCATGACGAAGTGGCAGCGTATTCGTGATTTGTCCCATGCGCAAATGTCGCAAAAAGACATTTCAATCACCGTGGGAGTGTTCCGGTGGACCGTCAAAAGGGTTTTAGACCGAGAAAAGAAAAGACAACTATCCGCGAAGGTGGCCACAGGTCATCCGAGGTCAGCTCGGGTTCCGAGGGTTATCGCTGCTATCAAAAGAAAGATGCGGGTGAATCCAGTGCGTTCAATAAGGAAAATGGCAAAGGAACACGAGATCAGTGACTTTACGGCATGGAAGATCGTAAAGGGAGATTGCGGGGTGAAGTCGAGGGCACGGAAAAAAAAACTCCCATGATTACCAACCGCATCCGGGAGCTACGAGTCGAACGATGCAAGAAAATCTTGAATTTCCTTAAGCGAAAAAATCCGGTAATCCTGTTCACCGACGAGATCTTGTTTAACGTCGATCCCGTATCAAGTTCCAAAACCGACCGGTATATTAGTTTTCTTCCGGTAAAAGACGTGGCCGACGAGCACAAGAACGTGTATCTGACCAAGCATCCTGCTAGCGTTATGGTGTTTGGATTGGTGGCTTCCGATGGTAAAAAATGGACCCGGTATTGATTCCAGAAGGCGACAAGGTCAACACAGAGGTCTACATCGAGATTTTAAGTAAGTATGTTCTTCCGTGGATCAAAGAACAGTAGGGTCCGAAGCCAAATATTGTATTTCAACAAGATGGGGCTCCGTGCCACACCTCGAACCGCACTCAGAAGTGGTTGCAGGAACATCTTCCGTTCTGGGCGAAGGATATGTAGCCGCCATTCAGCCCCGATCTTAATCCACTGGATTACTCAATATGGCGGGTCATGAAGGCCAAGGCCTGTTCTAAACACCACCTGAGTACAGCCAAACATTGACCCGTACCTGGAAAGAAATGGATCCAGACTACATTATTAGAACCTGCCGTGCATTCCGGAAGCGTGTGGAGGCCGTAATTGCAGCAAGTGGAAACTCGATTGACAATTAACATAGTAAGACTCTGAGAAACATCCACCCTTTGAATAAATAAATAAAACTCGAAATCAAAATTTTTGAGAATTTTTTAAATTTTGACATTGCTCAATAGTGTAAACATTACCACGCATACGGTAGAGCCTAAATAAAAACTGAAACAGGTTTGAATGGTTTTAATTGCTTTTTCAACAGCCGTTTGGCTTACACACTGATTTATTGCGCGGCAATAAACAATCTGTTTAGTTTCAATACATGATTTAATAGTGTAGAAACTCATTGGTCAGAAGTTCAGCCTTTTGCTGTTTTAAAAACCGTTTGAAATCCTACGACAACACCAAAAAGTGTCGGATTTTTTTAAATTAATTTACTGCAGCACTCTATCCCTTCATAAAACTGTTCTGTAAATCAATAGTAAACCACCTCAGTTTTTGTTCATTGATATCACGACAAAATACTCCATAAAGGTGGTGTATCATTAAAAAAGCAATAATTAAACTTTACAAAAGACATATTATGTTTTTGAATTAAATTATTTTTGTTGGAAGATTTGCTTTTTTAAAATGTTGATATCGTATAATGAAACAAGTGGATTTTTGTGTTTGGATGCATAAGAAAGACGGTGAAAACTACGAGAGTCTTTTTCGTTTGAGTAATTTAATTAACTTTTAACGAGGGCGTATTATTCCACGAAAAACGTTAATTACTTTTCATTTCAAAAAGGAAACAACTTGGTTGATTGAGAAAAAATGCCATCAAAAGATTTAAAGTTGCCTAGATTAAGTCATTTGCAAGAAATTAATGTTTAATAAGTTCTCAAGTAACCAACAGGCCCGCTAATTCGCCTTTTTGCAATATAGGGCTGATAGACGGCTTACATAGGGCATGCTAAGCTTTATTTTAGCCGAATATTGGCCTTATATTGCAAAAAAAAAGAAATAGCGAGCTTGTTGGCCACTTGCGTTAGTTGCTAAAATTCGATTAACCAAGCCTTACTCTAAGTTAAATAAAGCAGTATAAAACGTGAACCGTAAGCAAAAAAAATCCAGGTCAAGGATACAAACAGTCATTGAAGTATAATTACGAAATTTTATCAAGATTTATCTTGATATACACCACCGACTACCAAAAACGCGAGACATAATGATCAATTTCCCATCGGATTACGGTACTTGTTATACCTAGTTAAGGACTTACTGAAACAATTATGAAACGCGATCGAAGTTCCAAGGAAGTCTTACTGATCATTATCGATTAAACCATTTAAGCGTTCCTGATTTCGTCAGTCCTCCGTCACACATTGCACAACCCTATCTTGCATAATACTCTCTCTTCCCCACAAGCAACCTTGCATCGAACCCTGACCAAAAAGCCAATCTGTATCAAATCGTACGCAAAAGGCACACTATTCCCTCGCTTCGTTTCACCTATCATTCTCAAACTTCATGCTGCATTCAACTGTAACCGCGTCTAAAAACACAACATAACAACGAAAACGAACATAAAACATAACAAACGAAAGAGCAACAGTAAAAGGAACAACAAAAACAACATTCACCAACAGAGCATTCAACTATCCGGTGTGACGAACGTGCAAAAAAAAGCAAAATTTCCCTGCCGTTGAAAGCCTACGCTTTGTAGAGCCGGAGGCCCTGTCTCAGTTGGCCTAAAGCTTCTGTTTGTCTACACCTTCTAACGTGTATATGCAAAGGTCCGCGTCCATGACTGTGTCCGCCCTGCTCTAACGACGATACTCACTCTGATCCAAGACCGGGTCCGGAGGTTTCGTAGTGGAGCTCCGGCTGGAAGTGGGCATGCGGTGGCACTGGCGCTCCGTGAAGGTACTCCGATGGGTGACCACGAGGGGGCTTGGTGTAGATCAACTCCGGAAGCTCCTTGTGTTCATGGGGGTAGAACTGTGAAGAAGAACGGGAAAATTGGATTGATCAATTAGCAAATTGAGTTGTTGCTATGAGAATTAACAACGATGACTTGGGTTGTTTGTGGGGATGTGCGTCCGTCAAATGAGCCATAACGCAATAATTGCCAGGGGTAATTTTTCGACACTGATCTGCTTTGTGGCTACATTCATAATTTATGGATCAGGTCGGCTGAGAAACTTCCCCCTGCCTGGTTTGGTGATAATTTGTAAGCTGGCTTAATCTGCGATGACCGATATTTACACTCGCAGTGAATTCCCCGGAGGGCTTTCTCCCATTTGGTACCTCATTTTTTAGGCTGGGAAAAAGGTCGCCCAAGTGGGTCAGTTTTTTTGGGTAGCAAAACTGACACAATTAGCTCAAATCTCACATGCGAGCGGTTTTGTCTATCCCCCGTGCCCCTGCTTCACTGACTGTGGGGGTTTAATCCCAATTGTAAATTTACTTACCGAGTGCAGATGACTGATGTGATGCTGATGGTGGTGGAAGTTTGGCTTGTGGTAGGACGCGTGGTAGTACGAGCAAAGCTTGAAGATGTGTGACAGCGCCGGGAAGAGGAACAACATGAACTTGAGGATCAGCTTCTTGGCCGTGCCGACGCCGACCAGCAGCGGGAGCAACCACATGACCTTGATCTTGATGATTTTGATGATTAGGATGATGCCCAGGAAGGCCAGTAGCAGTTTGCTTTGGAAGAATTTTTCTGGAAGGAAGAAGAAAATGTGTAAACAGTTTAGTATGAGGGTCACTTTTAGCAAAGATACATGTAATTCGCTGAATTTTAAATTAAAGTTTTTAAAAGCTAGGTGATGATGTACCAAGCCTGTCATGGTAGTTACCAGTGCGTCACAATATTAGCTTAATTGGACAAAATCAATGCGAGTAAGAGACTACTAGCTTTCTTTGTCGAATAAAGTTGAACAGCTTCACAGCATTTTAGAACCTCTGTCGGCGTCTACAAACAAATTACCTGTATATTTTATTCAAGAATTCGGAATGATCAAGTTTTATTCTGAAAATATTCAACTGTTCATAAAATCCAGAGATCGAAATTCTTGCTCAGCTGCAATGTTGGAGAGTAGCCCAGCTCACATTGAAGAAACACGACCGAAGAATATTTCACCCCATTGTACCATATGGGATGATTACGAGGTGATTTTTGGGCATCGTTCTTCGGACATACCCATGCATGGAGCAACGGAGGTGCACTCACACATCACAGGACAGGAGAGGATCACCGATCATCGATCACCATCGATCGGCAACAGGAGCGATGGGAGGTTCTCTCGCTCTCAGCCATCCCAGCATCCAAAGACAGCGACGATTAAGGCAATTAATTGGATTATCAGTGCCGGTTAGACCTCCAAGGAAGATGGATAGGCTTCTGTGCAGAATTAACGTGTTCTTTGTTACTTGTGATATATATCATTTAATGTTAATATATGTAGTGGTTTTATGTTTAAATATAGCTAGTGGATAATAACTGTTTCAAATGTGTTTATTTTATCACACATGGCTGGGGTAAATTGGATCATTTGGGTGAGACTCAGCAGGCCTTGGTTCAGTCCCAGTCTGCGCCGCCGGGATGTTCTGAGGCATAACATCTCTGATCACGCCTTCCTTCGGAAGGGAAGTAAAGCCGTTGGTCCCCGGTTCATGAGTTGATGGGTCAATAGGTAGGGTCCAGGTGCGGTAGCTGCCTCCCTGGCGTCGGTAGCATTGGTGCTCAGCACGGAAAACAAGATCGACGGAACATAAATCAAGGAAAAAAAATTATTGGAATTTAAATTTAGGAGCTCGGCTAGTTTCCCTTAGCTCAGTCGGTAAAGGCGCAGCTACAAAGCAAGACCATGCTGGAGGTGGCTGGGTTCAATTCCCGGTCCGGTCTAAGAATTTTTCGAGTTGGAAAATTTCTCGACTTCCCTGGGCATTAGATTAGACTTGCCACACAATTATAACAATGCAAAAATGGTACAGGCATCGAAAGTTCTCAATTAATAACTGTGGAAGTGCATCTAGAACACTAAATTGAGAGCACGCAATAATCTAATATGCGATATGCATTAAGCTTGAAATGCGAAGAAGAAGAAGAAGAAGAAGCTCGGCTAGCTTGGCGGCTGCGCTTTTGCTTACTGAGTAGAAGATCGTGGGCTTACTCCCAAGCTCCTCGAGAATAAAATAATTACTAGTGATCGGTTCTGAAACCATCGTGTTGGAGGAAGTGAAGCACCACCTAAATTATACAGTCCACGAAGGAACCAACTCCCCAAGGACTTCATCCCAACATGCGATATAAGCGACGTATAATGCAAGCTGCTTTTTGAAGAGCCGAAAATCGACAATATTTTCATCTAATGAAAATATCGTTCTCTCAAAATCGGTAAGAACACTTTTTCATCTCCCATTGCACACCGAAAATATTCGATAGTGTGTTGTTAGAGCTCGAGCAGGAGTCCATGGGAAGCTGCCGTAAAATGCTTCAAGAACTCCTTCAAGAAAGCCATCGGAACAAGCACTCTACTCTACGACGAGATGCAGACAGTACTCGCACAGATCGAAGCGGTTTTGAACTCCAGACCCCTCACTCCAGTTAGTAACGATCCTGGAGACTTTGAAGTCATTTTCTAATGCAACAACCACTGACAGCAATCGCTGAACCGAACCTTTGAGCATCTTTCTGCTAATCGGCTCTCTGTCTGGCAAAGATTGCAGAACTACGTCCAGATGCTTGGCTTGGAGAAAATGGAAGACTCCGTATCTCTCGGACCTGCATAATCGCACGAAATGGACAAGGCAACGTGAAAATATCACAGTAGGATCTATAGTCTTGCTGATGGATGAGCGGTTAAGCCACTGAAGTGGAATCTTGGTCGAGTCTCCGAAGTATTCCGAGGTTCTGGCGACAACATCCGGATAGTGCGCACAAGCAATGGGGTCTTCCGAAGAGCAATATCGAAGATTTGCGTGCTTCCAATTCGGGATAACGCAACATCTACCAACGAGAAGCACTAGTGCTTCTCCATCGGTGGTTCTAAAGCACCCGCAGAGGTCCGTGTGGCCTCCGCGAACCAGTTAAGTTTAATATTATATCAGTACTTCAAAAAGTTAATAGAAGGTTCATACCTCATAGCCACCGATCTACCCCGGGACGTTCAACCACGCGGACCGAATTTTTGAGCTTGAGTCCAAGCACTTGAATTCCATTTCTGAGGTACAAGCATGCGTTGGTGAAGGTAGATGTGTCAAGAAGTCCTGTGAAGTCCCAAGCCAAGCAATCAATGGAGTAGCATTGTGTTGAAAGTTTGTCTCTAATTCCATCTGCTTACTTGAATTAAATTGACCATTCCCGTTTCGTCGAGGTCAATCCCGACAGCATTTCGTGGTCCAGTAACCTGCAGCGTCCAAAACGGAATTTGACGAACTCTACGACTGTCACTGCAGCCAACGGATCATTTTGCATTTGCATTGCCGCTAGGAGTGTTCGCGGAGGCCACGAAAGCCTCAGCTCCAGGCAAGTTAATTTTTGAGTCACAAATTCAAGTTTTACAGGAAGATGTCCTCCTAATTGATGTCCAATGAATCGATTGAACCCCGAAAGCACACTACCAACACACTGACATGCAATCCGTACCGATCAAGCCGACGACCCAAAGAACAACAGGAAGAACCAAATAAGCGGCCGTTATGAAAGGATATCTCATGGCACACGGTATATCGAAACAGGCGTCCGTCCCACAACGTCGAGAAAGCAGCCATCGATGAACAGCATCATCAGCAAGAAGAAGAAAACAAGTGGAGTAGTAGAATAATTTGAATTCCTTAGCTAAGTTTAGATTAGGTATTAATTAGGAGTTAGTATTGAAATCCAGTAGGATTCAAGGCGGCCGGCATATGATCGCACCAATCGTATAATTTATGAGTTGTATTTATGTTGCTAGAGCCACCCTAACACGCGATCACTCACTCTCTGTATGCGTCATACAACCAGCTGAGTAAATATAAAAAGTTTTAACGTAGGATCGAATGGTGGTTAAAAATTCTCTGCTTGACCATCAAGCTGTACAGTCCGGGTGGAGCAACAATTGAATGCCTTCACTCACCCGTTGAAAAAACAAACGGTGATTGGTCTCCAAAGTGTGGATGCAACCGCATTCGATCAAGATGCCCCAAAAAGGCCTCGCAAGCAAGCTGGTGCCAGCAACCACACGGAAAGGTTGATTCCGAGTAATCCGTTCTCGGTACTCTCCGAAGAAGCAGATATAGATCCAGTTGAGAAACGGGAAAGAGTGCCCCCACTGTTCATCTCGACGAAGGAGCTCGCATTGCTCAGGAATGAGCTGCCTAAAAATCAAATCCATCCACTGTTCAAGCTGTGCAGCACGGGGATCAAAATCTTGTGCTCGACGCTGGCGGACTACAACGCTGTTGGCACTTTTCTTCAGCTGAACCGGTTTGAGTTTTACACTCACGACGTCCCTGGAAGCAAACTACTGAAAATGGTGATCCGTGGTCTTCCAAATCTCCCTGTTGCGGAGATTAAAGCGGAATTGGAGCGCCTTCATCTGCAACCAATCAACATTTTTCCCATTGCGAGACGTGATGAAACCAGTGCATTCCGGGACCCGTTGTACCTGGTTTACTTCGATAAGGACGCCACCAGTGTGGCTGCTTTGGGGCAGATTCACGCGCTGTTCAACATCGTGATTCAATGGGGACACAGTGCACTAATTGTCTGGCATTTGGGCCTGGTACGAAGAATTGTCACATGAAGGCTCGTTGTGGCAAATGTGCTGGGGCTCACAATACTACCACCTGCAAGAAGGAAGAAGAAGCTGAACCTAAGTAGATGAACTGTGATTCCAACCATCTGGGCAGCGATGAGAGATGTCCCAAGCGAGCGGCCTTCATCCAGATCCGACAACAGGCTTCCACGAGGAACCAACCTGGTCGCCACCGCAATAATCGTGCTCCTATTGTCAACAAGGACACATTTCCTGTACTTCCGGCTCGTCGTATGGTTCCGAACCTAGCACCACTTCCACTAAACCGGCACCCCCGAATCCAACATCAGATCAAGCGGGTTCCATCCACCGTTCAGTTCAGCATCGCTTCACTGATGCTGCGGCCCAGCCGAACCATGTCTCTATTGCTCCGGGAATATCGTATGCCCACACAGCACGTGTCACGTAAGTCAGAAAATTCTCCACTCACAAGCGACGAACTAGTGATCCTCGTAAATGAGGTGATCATAATCTTGCGCACCATCAAGACACTACCTGAACAGCTTCGTGCAGTTATGACCCTCTTGCAAAAGTATGGACCGTGAAGCCATCAAAATAGCCAACTGGAACGCTTGCTCGCTCGAGAGCAAAATCATTGAGTTCGTTGATTTCCTCAATGAATATAGCATAGACATCGCTGTCATCACCGAAACACACCTGAAGCCGGAGATAAATGTTCACCTCCCCGACTTTCAGCTTGTAAGGCTAGACCGGACCAGCTCCTGCGGAGGAGGAGTGGCTATCGCATTAAGGACAAATATTGGCTGTCGACTGCTACCGAGTTTCCAGCTGAAGATCATCGAAGCGGTGGGTGTGGAAGTCTCCACTTCTGTCGGCCCTATCACCATCATTGCGGCCTACTGTCCCAAACAAGTCACCATCAAGAACGGGTCGGCAGCAGACCTGCGGAGAGACATCATCAAACTAACTCGACGCCGTGAGAAGTACATTATCGCTGGCGACCTGAACGCCAAACACCAGGCTTGGGGCAACAGTCGACACAACCAAAACGGCACAATCCTAAACGATGACCTGCAAGAGACTCACTACACTATAATAGTGCCGGACTCTCCCACCCGCTTGAGCCGGTCTGGCGTTCATCGTCATCTTCGTCAGTAACATGGGAGACAACATCTCACAACCTGTGATCCACCAGGAGCTGAGTTCTGACCACTATCCGGTGGTGGCCGATGTGGGCTCATCCGTCAACCGATTCCAAACTTCCCAACGCAACTACCATCGCGTCAGCTGGGATCAGTTCCAGCACTGTGTCGACTCCACTTTCGACTACGGTGTCCTTCCGGAGACACCCGAAGACGTTGACCGGTGTCTGCATTCCATCGATGAGGTGATATCCCGGGCCAAGGAACAACACGTGCCAGTATCCAGACAGGTGAGCAATACTCTGAACCTTGACAGATCTACCAAAGACTTTATAAGACTCCGTAACACCATCCGAAGACAGTACCAACGCTCTGTAATCGCCTAACAAAAACCATCTAAGCCAGGATGGTTGACCTCAGAAATCAGGACTTCGCTAACAGAATCCGCTCTCTCCCAGATTGTGCAAAGACCTTTTGAAAACTAATCAAAATTCTTAAAAATGAGCCAAGACCCATTCCACCACTGACCCCGCTGAACCGTCCCGGCGACCCAGTGGTTCATCTGATAGCTCCTGAAGAGAAGGCTGCCGCGATAGGTCACCACTTCGTTAGCTCTCATAATCTCGGACAAAACATCGTCAGCCCTCACGAAGCTGAAGTTGCTGAAAACGCAACCAACCTCCATCAGATTCCCAATATTTTTTCCGAGGAATCCGAGATGACGGCTGACGAACTGACGAAGGCCCCAGGTTTTGACAACATCCTGAATCTGGAACTCAAACACTTGAGTTCCAGATTCTACAACCATCTGGCACTGATTTTTAATCTATGCCTCAGACTTGGCTACTTCCCCTCGTGCTGGAAGTCAGCTAAAGTCATACCCATCCCGAAACCTGGGAAGTTTCCGTCTTCTCCTTCAAGTTATCGACCAATCAGCCTTCGCTCAGGGTTATCAAAACTGTTTGAAAGAGCAGTATATCACCGGCTCCTAACATGTGCCGAAGAAAATAACTTGTTAGTCGAGGAACAGTTTGGTTTTCGGAAAGGTCGTTCGACCGTCCACCAGCTGACTCGAGTAACAAACATTCTCAGACGGAACAAGTCTGTTTCGAAAACATCTGCCATGGCATTGTTGGACGTTGAAAAAGCGTTCGACAATGTCTGGCATGATGGCTTGGTGTTCAAATTGCAACACTAAGGTCTTCCAATCTTCCTAGTGAAGATAATTAACAACTACCTATCGAACAGGACGTTCCGAGTCTATTTGAATGGCATCACATCGGATGCTTTCAACATCGGTGACGGGGTTCCACAAGGAAGCATCCTTGGCCCCATTCTATTCAACCTGTTCACCTCCGAAATGCCGGCTCTTCCTGATGGTGGATCGTTGTCTCTGTTCGCAGATGACACATCCATCGTCTACAAGGGTAGGGTCATCGGAGCTCTGACTGCCAAACTTCAGAGAGGCCTGGACGTCCTGTCTGAATATTTCAACAGCTGGAAGATCCGTATCAACGCGACAAAGACCCAGGTCATCATCTTTCCACACTCTAAATCTCCCAGATTTGTTCCGTCGGAGAATAATAAGATCTCCTTGAACGACACAGTGGTGGAATGGTCGAAAGAGATAGTCTACCTCGGCTTAACACTAGACAGAAAGCTGATTTTCAGGGATCACGTTGACAAAACCAAAACCAAGTGTAACATCTTGATAAGATCACTGTATCCACTCATCAACAGGAGGCCTTCTCTATCCCTGGAAAATGAGCTTGATGTCTACAAAAAATTCATCCTTCCCGTAATAGAATATGGGATGCTAATCTGGGAGAGTTGCACGAAATGCCAACACCTTAAACTCCAAAAGATCCAGAACAAGATCCTTAGGATGGTCCTAAACAGTTCCCCGTGGACTAGAAATTCTGAGATCCACCTCCTGGCTCGAATTCAGACATTAGAAGAACGGTAAGTACTCATCCTGGAAAGGTTCAGAGACACCTGTCTAAGATCAAATCATCAGATCATACATGATCAAGCACGTTAAGTTAAGTTATGCTCGTAGTTAGGTAGGTTTTTACTTTTTTCAATTCAAACAAAACACACCATCAAAGGGGTATTCTGTAAACTAGTTTTGAATTTTGATCACAAATTCTGAAAGAGCTGAGAAACTTGCTAAGCAATTCGAGAATTCCTATAATTTCAGTTTGGGTCGTACTAGTCCTATTGAGATGATTCTCTCTTCTGCTCGGGATTATCTGAATATTTTCTGTCGGGAAATATCTTTGATGATTCCTGGGGGACTGATTTGCACTAAGTATGATCTATAACTAAAAAGATTCATAATTTGAAAGCTCCTGGTGATGATGGAATTTTCTATATCCTCATCAAAAAACTCCCAGAGAGTACCTTGTCTTTCTTGGTAAAATTATTTAACAGATGTTTCCATTTGGCATACTTTCCTGATAAATGGAACAATGCAAAAGTTGTTCCAATTTCGAAGCCGGATAAAATTCCCACTGAAGCTATTAGCTACCGTCCAATAAGTTTGCTTTCTTCAATTATAATAGACTTTTTGAAAAGATAATTTTAAATAGAATAATGCTTCACATCAATACCAACTCAATTTTTGCAGATGAGCAGTTTGGATATCGCCAGGGGCATTTTACTACCCATCAACTCTTAAGAGCTACCAATTTAATTCGTTCAAACAAATCTGAAGGTTGCTCAACTGAAGTTGCTCTTCTAGACATAGAAAAAGCATTCGACAGTGTTTGGCATGAAGGTTTGATTGCTAAATTGAAAAAAAAGGTTATTTTTCCACTCTATATTATGAAATTAGTTCAAAATTATTAAACTGACAGAACTCTGCAGGTAAATTATCAAAATTCAAAATCTGATAGACTACCTGTTAGAGTAGGAGTACCTAAGGGTAGCATTCTTGGGTCTATATTGTATAACATTTACACTTCGGACCTTCCTGATTTGCCTCAGGGTTCCCATAAATCTTTGTTTGCCGATGACACAGGCATTTCCGCTAAAGGAAGAAATCTTCGTGTTACAGCACACACCAGCGCAATCTGCATTAGGCACACTTACTAATCTTCTTGAACAGGATCCTCGGCTCCGAAGCACCACGTGCCTCGATGGTCGTCCGTGGAACGAACTCCAACTTGGCCAGCATTCCGTTGCCCTCGATGGCACGCGGTTCGATGCGGAAAATGGCTCCATCGAACATGATCTCCGGCATGCGAACGTTGACATCGTGAGTCAGCATAAACTTGAGCGTTTTGTCGTGCAACGCAGAGGTGACTTCCTCGATGGGGGACGTTGGTTCGAAATCTGCAAAATAAACGAAATGAAAAGGAAAGAATTAGAAAACATAAAAAAAGAGGTAAAGCTATAAAATATGAGATTTGACCTTGCATCACCCAAGGCTTGACCACGGAATACGCCTTTTATCCCCCAGCATGTGTGGATGTTTCGTGGGACCTGAATATTAATTTCTTAACATCTTTTTCTCTCTTTTATTATCGTCAGAGAAGAGAAAGTTGTTTTTGCGAAAGTGGAGAATCCAAAAATTCATCAATGCCGTTTCGGAAAGAAGATTATGACAACGTTTCATTAAGGTCCATTATGGTTGGAGTATTCAATTTTTCGGGTGTTTGAACGAACTGAGGTCATTGAGCAGCTAAATAATTGAAGGAAATTTCCTATTTTTTGGCAGCCGTTGATCATCACTCAAAAAGACACATTTTGATGATGAGTCCAGCAGCCTAAAGCACGCTAATATGATTTTTTTCCCGGTCTTCAGAAAACATACTCAACTCGATCAGCACTTGGCTAATGAAGACTAAAAGCACTTGAAAGCACTTAATTCATCTTGTTTACAGCTTTTCAGTTTTGTTTGTGGTAAACCCATCACGAATCAATTTGTTCGATCACTTTAAACGTTAGTTTTTACTCTTTCTTAGAGGGAGCGACGATCCACAGCGAGTTTCGTTCCGATTTCATTTTGGTTGTGTTTTTATATTTATCCAGAATCGTTGTCGAGTGAGAGTTTGCCATCCGTGAATGCGTGACGTTTCATGTTATTGGAGGAAGAGTTGTGGCGATGGTGGGCGGAGAATGATTGTAGTTCCAACGACCGGTATTTTGAGGTCATTATATGTACGTATGTACTGTGCACTGCACACGCACCGGATACCGAAGAAGACTCAATATTCAATGTGTTTAATACCAGCAGGAGGCAATTGATGGCAATGCAAAGCAATGAGGAGGGTCCTCCGCAATTAGCCGTGTAAGCATGAAGGTGACAAGTCCTCGAGGAAAGTTGGCTGATGGACTTTGTGCTCGTTGTGAAATGGGGTTACTGTACGAATCAATGACCGCTTAGTTGATTAATGAAGTTGGCTGGTTATGGAGAGAAATTTTGGTTCAAGGTTTCGAAAAAAAAATAACACCGGATCCTCATTTTCCACGTATACATAGGCAAGTTTAAATTTGATTTGCAAAGAGTATATAGAATTTATAACAGTAGTGCGCTATATGGTGGAGCTGTGGGGGGGGGGGGGGTAAAAATTACGAGTAAAACAGTATTATTTTAATTTACATACCCTGGAAGCTAATTTACACTGATATAATCAGAACACAACGTTTCCTAATTCCACAGAAGCAAGAACAAAAAAAGCTAAAAATGGTTTGCTTAATACAAATACTGTTAAACGGGGTAACATTGATAGTTTTTTAGAGTAGGGTTTTTGATCTAATTTCCGTCCTACTAAGCACACCCCGCGCTTTACCTCTCTGTTCTGAACGAGTTTAAACAAAAAATGGAGTATTTGTATCAAATATGACTTCTAAATTTATTCACCTTTCCATACGTACCGTTGGATTTGATAAAGAGTCACAAATTGTTGAGATATTGCTTAAAATCTAATACTGCTTCTTGATTCTAAATTCGTTCTACGAATTTCAATTCCGTCCTAACGCATTGAAACGCCATTAGATTTTCTTCGTCCTATGGATAAACGGAGAAAAAGGGGATTCGCCAGGAGCACTTCTTTTGTTTTGAGAACAATGACCGTAAATATTCATACAATGCACTCTAACAGGATTTATGTTGTAGCTAATGAACTAACGCATCGGAACAAACCTATTGTTAATTTGTGCACGGTGAAATGATTGATATTATTGATGTTTTCTGATCAATAGAACGGGAATAGGCGATTACGACGAAGTAGCGCTCTACCCTATATTCTAAATATCTTTTAAAACAATGAATGTTTTTCAAATTTCATTTTTTAAAAACAATTACTGAGGATGCTAGAGTGCATAACACCCGTCGAAGTCGAACGCCGCGAACCAACATTGAGCAATTACGGGACGCCGGAGTTGCCCAGGACTACACGCAGCAGCTGGAAGTTGCACTACCCACGGAAGAGCAGCTTGTCGCAGCTTCTCTTGAAGATGGCTGGAGGGATATCCGTTCCGCCATAGGTAGTACTGCTGCAGCGGCACTAGGTACTGCAATCCCGGACCGTAGAAATGACTGGTTTGACGGCGAATGCAAACTGTTAGTAGAGGAGAAGAATGCGGCACGGGCGAGAATGGTGCAACACCGCACGAGATTGAATGTGGAGCGATACAGACAAGCGTGGAACAGACAAAACTCGGTTTTCCGAAGAAAGAAGCGTCAGCAAGAAGACCGAGATCACGAGGCGATGGAAAATCTGTACCGCGTATACGACCCACAGAAGTTCTATGAGAAGGTAAATAGTTCTCGCAAAGGCTACGTGCCGCAAGCCGATATGTGCAAGGACTTGGACGGTAACCTTCTCACGAACAAGTGTGAGGTGATTGAGAGGTGGAAGCAGTACTATGACGAGCAACTCAACGGTGAAGTAGCAGAAAACGAAAGTGGCACGCCAACAGACCTTGGAGCACGCGCAGAAGACGACAGGCTACCGGCCCCTGATCTTCAAGAAGTTGAAGAGGAGATCGGTCGGCTGAAGAACAACAAAGCAACTGGTGTAGATCAACTACCAAGTGAGCTATTAAAACACGATGGTGAAGCACTGGCTAGAGCGACGCATCTGGGTAATTGCCAAGATTTGGGAGGAGGAGATATTACTGGAGGAGTGGATGGAAGGTGTCGTATGCCCAATCAGGCATGGCAAATCATTTACATTCATTTTGTGCATTCATTAACATTCATTTGCCTCTAACTTTTTTCATCAACAGAACTCCATGAAATGATGTATGAAGCTTTTGTAGGTTTTGATATTAGCTACAACTTTTCTGGACGGCTCAAATCTGTATATCTTGTGCATGATGAACCGGAGCGAACAGAACTTACCTATGTTTTTCAGTGAATGTTAATTACATTCACTGAAAAATAGTAACAAGTTCTGCCCGCTCTAGTTCGTCATGCATAAGACGTACAGATTTGAATTATCGACAAAAGTTGTAGTTAATATAAAAACCTACAAAAATTTCTTAAATCATTTAACGGAATTCTGTTGATGGAAAAAGTTAAAGGCAAATAAATGTAAATGAATGCACAAAATGAACGTAAATGATTCGCCATGCCTGTGCCCAATCTACTAAAAGGGCGACAAGTTGGATTGCTGCAACTACCGCTCAATCACACTGCTGAGCATCGCCTACAAGGTACTCTTCTAAATTCTATGCCGCCGCCTGTCACCATTTGCAAGAGAGTTCGTTGGGTAATATCAGGCAGGATTCATTGGTGCCCGCGCTACCACGGATCAAATTTTCGAGATTCGGCAGGTTCTACAAAAATGCCGCAAATACAGCGTGCCCACACTTCATTTGTTCATCGATTTCAAATCCGCATACGACACAATCGATCGAGATCAGCTATGGCAGATTATGCACGAGTACGGATTTCCGGATAAACTGACGCGATTGGTCAAGGCGACAATGGATCGAGTGATGTGCGCTGTTCGAGTATCGGGGACACTCTCGAGTCCCTTTGAATCTCGAAGGGGGTTACGGCAAGGTGATGGACTTTCGTGTCATCTTCGGTGGTGATCCATCACCGATCTGGTCATTCTCGACAATCACGACATTCATCTGTGATCGTTTTGAAGCAGTTGCTGCTTTGCTTGCTTATGTCAGTGAGTTGGTAAGTGAGTTGGTGAGTGAGCCCAACAGCTTCCGTTTAATTTTGCCAGCTTTGTTTGTAACTCACACAGTCGCGTGTGCCGAGGCGAGCTTGGAATGCGTAGGCGTTGTTTTCATTTTCTTCTGCCGTTTCGCTTTTTCTCATCATCATACTGCAGAAGTCTTCACTGTTTTCGTTGTGCTTTACATCATCAGCAGCGAGTGTTAGGTTTTGCCTGTGAGCAGCGACCATTACTGGTGATTGTTATTTGCCATGGCTCTACCTCTCACTGCGTGACAAAACGTTCTGTCAGCGATAGTCGGTTGATGCGATGACGAGTGTCGAGTGAGTGTCATGATATTTTGCATCACTGGTTTGACGCATAATCGGGGCGGTCCGGTGTAATATGAAGGAGAAAACAGTCGTTTTAAAATGCAATAGAGTTCAGTCGAGACAGCTTAAAAGATGTGCGTCAGTCATAGTTTACTTTGTAAAGTAAGGGGCACGGTAGACCGAAAATAAAATAAAATGTAAAATTTTAATGGATGTCGTTCCCGTCTTACGTAAGGATCAAATCGAAACAACGAACGTCGCGTAAAAGTAGAATCACATGTAAGCATACGCGCTTTTTCGTACCTTTTTTGTCTCCAGGTTCAAAAAATCATCGGTCGTAGAGGCTTATTCTTGTGTAAAGGGCACCGCCGTCGAGTTTAAGTTCGAATAAATCCCAGATCCTATCATATTAGGGAGACTTACAGTAACATCGCTTGATTATCGTGTGCGTTGTGAAACTTAACATCGTCATCAACGTCAGTTTTGAATGGTTGAAATAACAACGCGTTCGTGATATGAGGGGCTTGGTGGCCTTGGAGCGACCATTTTTGCTTACTGAGTAGAACGTCATGAGTTTCTATCTCAAGCCCCTGCACATTCCAGATTCGTTAATCGCTTTATTTGTTAATGTGAAAACATTGGAATAACAACAAATCGATCATCGATTGTTGTAATAAAAGGAGCTCGTTTACATAGTGACAAACGTTTTTGCTTACTGAGCAGAATACCGTGAGTTCAATCCCAAACTCCTTCGTGTTATAACGAACATCAAATCAGCTCATCATTTACGCAATAAGCTTATATGCTATAAGCAATAAGTTTGAAATGTGAGGAGGAAGAAGAAGTTACAGTACAGAAGAACATTAGAACACAACATCTC